TGGGGCTTGAGTTCCAATTCCCTCACAGGGGCAGGGCCTCGTGAAAACTCACAAAGTCGGCCTTGCTAATGCCAAGCCGGAGGTTGGAGTAAACTGCCATCTCCTTTGTTATGGAAGCAATTTTGTCCCTGGCTACTTCGGGCACAGAAACAAAACAAAAAATGCCAACTTTGCTCCTGCTTGCCAGAGATGGGCCTATGAACATCGCAAGCCAGGTTGCCAAGTGGAGAAACGGAGGTGGCTCTAAAGCTTTTTACCCTCAAGGGATGACTTATTAAATTATTACACATAATTTTGTTGGCAATCCAGATCTCTCCGCTGTTTTCCATAAGAGATACAATCAAAATTAAATCCAGGGATATTAAAAACAATTTAAAAGCAACAATTAAGAGCAATTAAAATGAACAATAAAAACTCACTTTTTAAAAAATAATAATAATTATGATTTAGGGCTCTTTACAAGCCAGGAAGAGGTCAGATTTCATCACCTCCGCCTGGAGTCCCCTTGAGGGAGGCCTGTAGCCAGGTAGGGCATCCCCCTCAGGTGTGTTGTGGGGAGCTCGTCTCCAGAGAACCATTATTTTAAATAGGCTGGGCCTGAGCCAAAAGGTAATCAGTACTTTGGCTTGAAAAGGATTTGGCAGCCAGCGCAATACTTTTGGCACAGGTGCAATGTGCTGTGTTTGAGTTCTTCCAGAAACCAGTATGGGTGCTGAATTCATGCACACTATTTGCTTTACAGTTTTTATACCTTCCCCTCCTAGACCCGTCTTGGATTAGAGAAGAAGATAGCAAGAGCACTTAGACTTCTATACCGCTTCCCGGGGCTTCCCAGCCCCCTCTAAGGGGTTTAGAGTCAGCCTCTCGCCCCCCCCAACCGTCTGGGTCCTCCTTTAACTGACCTTGGAAGGCCGAGTCAACCTTGAGCCATCAGGATCAAACTGCTGGACATCAGCAGAGTTGACCCTGCAATACTAAATTCTAACTACTACTGTGCTGATATAGAATAGAATAGAATAGAGTAGAGTAGAGTAGAGTAGAGTAGAGTAGAGTAGAGTAGAATAGAATAAAATAGAACAGAACAGAACAGAACAGAACAGAACAGAATAATAATAGGATAGGTTAGGATAGAAAAATAGAATATAATAAAATAAAAGAATAGAATAGATAATAGAAATAAAAATAATAGCAACAGCCCTTAGATTTATATACCGCTTCACAGTGCTTTCCAGCCCTCTCTAAGTGGTTTACAGAGTCATCCTCTGGCCCCCAACAATCTGGGTCCTCCTTTTACCCACCTCGGAAGGACGGAAGGCTGAGTCAACCTTGAGCCTGGTGAGATTTGAACTGCTAAACTGCTGGTAGCCAGCAGTCAGCAGAAGGAGCCTGCAGTACCGCACTCTAACCAACTGCGCCACCACAGCTCAAAGATCTCTTCTCCATTCATGACTTCCAAGGTGAAACGCCATTCCGCTGAGTGTGAGGAACACTTACAGATCACTCTCTCCTGGATCACCCTGTATTTATTAACCAGAGGTTGAATGCATTCAAACTCTGGGTTAAATATAAATGGACCTACGTGTTTGTTAAGTATGGTTTACTGAATAAACTATACATGGTTAGGTTTGTACAAGAAGGCATAAACAGTGACTCAACCATGTGCACAGATTCACAGAGTAATTAAAAAAATATCCATAAATGTGGCCAAAGTCTTGCAAAACGTCCATGTTTCTGAGATATGTGGTGAGAATGTTAATATCTTGCAAGATCTGCCCTAAGAGTTCAGCTTTGTTTATGCTGAAATGTTGGCCCTGCATTGTTGTGCAGAGTTGTGCAAAAGTTTCCAGTGCCTGAAAATGTTTCCAATCCCTGCAATAAATCATACTTTACAATCATAGTGACCGAGCTCTCACACTAAACAAAATACAAACAAACCAGATTACATCTTGGGTAACATGAAGAGTCCAGCTTTGGCCTAGAAAGTCATGCTCGTGGGCAAGTGGATCACAGTTCAAATGATGGGCACATAGACATTCGGCCTCAGAAAGGAACAATAATAGTTTAAAACATTATTTCTCTGAGTTCAGAGATGAATTGTAGTTGTGAATGGTTCAAAAAACAGTTGGCTACATTTGTTCTTTTTACAAAACTTTGCAATTCCTCTTTAATTATCTGATATGCACAAGAAACACAACCTGTTCCTTCGTCTCTTAACGGTTTTTTGAACTATTTCTCTGGAAAGCTTATAGGTATGATCTTTACTGATATAATTGAGTGAGGGAGCAAACCACTAAGAATGGTGCTCTTTCCACCCATTTCCACAAACTACAGAAACCAACGAAGAAAATTATGCTTTATTTATATTTATATTTCATATTCATATTTGGGTGGATGGATGGATGGTGGGTGAATGAATGAATGAATGAATGAATGCTCATCTCATCCAACAGGCCAGTGTATTTCAACCTTGGGAACTTTAGGATGGGTGGACTTCAACTCTCAGAACAGCAGAGTGTTAAGAAACATTGCAATAGAAGTAAACATTGCAATAGAAGTAAATTGCAAGCAGATTCACTGGGCAAACTCAGCTGCCGTGATGGCAAACAAACAAGCAAACACAGGAGGGAAGAAACAGCCCTGGAAAGCTCTTGGCCTTTGGCTGCCAGCTAGCAGTCATCCAGAATTTTGCAGGACCGGGCTGCTAACCTCAGCCACGATCACCTGTGCCTGGTGCAAACTTAGAAATGGAACGAATTAGGTTTAGTGGGCTAAACGTCTCCAGGAAATAGATGAGGGCCTTCACTTCTGAGAAAGTCTCCAAATTTTGCTTCTGGCATCGGATTACCGCCTTCGTGGGCAAGGACACGTCCCACCTTGCAAGCAAGGTCTTGAGGGGGCACCTGCCAGGTGCTTCACCTCTGCAGTGGGCACTTGGGCCAGGGAAGAGCTGGGATGTCTTCTCTCCTTTGCCTCAGGAGAGGAAGCCAGTTCTTGCCCTTGGGAATATTTTGGTTCAAGCAGAATAGAGTTGGAAGGGTCCTTGGAGGTCTTCTAGTCCAACCCCCTGCTCAAGCAGAAGTCCCTGGTCTATGTCATTCCAGACAAATGGCTGTCCATTCTCTTCTTAAAATCCTCCAGTGATAGAGCACCCACAATTTCTGGAGGCAAGGAGTTCCACCGGTTAATTGTCCTCACTCTCCTTAATTCCAGGTTGCTTCTCTCCTTGGTTAGTTTCCATCCATTGTTCCTTGTCCTGCCTTCGGGGGGACTTTGGAGAATAGTCTGACCCCCTCTTTTCCGTGACAGCCCCTCAAATACTGGAACCCTGCTATGATGTCACCCCTGATTCTTCGTTTCTCTAGACAAGCCAAACCCAAATCTTGCAACCCTCCTTCTTCATGTTTTTGTCTCCAAGCCTTGAATCGTCTTAGTTGCTCTTCTCTGCACTTTATCCAAAGTCTCAAAAAAAATTTGTTTGGTGTTATGTGGTAACCAAAACTGTTCCGGGGGTGGCCTTACTAAGGATTCATAAAGCGGTACTGATACTTCACGTGATGTTGATTCTATGCCTCTGTTTATACAAGCAAGCATTACTTTGGCTTTTTTGGATGCTGCCACACATGGTGGGCTCATCTTTAAGCGACGGTCAGAAATGACATAGTGGCTCCTGCTTGGGCAGTGTCAGGTGTGGCTCCATTCCAAATCCAAGAAAGAAAACCTTTAGACCCCATTTTTATAGTGAAAAGGACTTTTACTGAATATGAAGTGGTAGCAACAGGAGAAATACAAGATCTGAAGCAAAAGGCGCGAAAATCACATATAGAAAGTTATCCCAAGTCCCCACCCCCAACAATTCAAACTGGACATCCAGTCTGAGGTGTGTATAATGTCATGTGGGTGCATCTTCAGGTAGCGTCTCAAATATTATTATTAAGTGTTGTACCTTATGATTCTTGACTCTTGACAAATGCATTTTTTCTTTTATATACACTGAGAGCATTTGCATCAAGACAAATTCCTTGTGTATCTAATCACACTTGGCCAATAAAGAATTCTTATTCTATTCTATTCTATTCTATTCTATTCTATTCTATTCTATTCTATTCTATTCTCAATAAAGATTCTATACTATTCTCAATAAAGATTCTATTCTATTTTATATAAAGATTCTATTCTATTCTATTCTATTCTATTCTATTCTCAATAAAGATTCTATACTATTCTCGATAAAAGATTCTATTTTATATAAAGATTCTATTCTATTCTATTCTATTCTATTCTACTCTACTCTACTCTACTCTACTCTACTCTACTCTACTCTACTCTACTCTATTCTATTCTATTCTATTCGGTATACCAAGAGGGTTGACCTTGGCCTAGAAAAGTAGCTGCATTTGTGTAGTAAGCCAGAAAGCACCCCAACTTTTACAATTCACACAATTTCAACCTCCAACACCCTTCCTCCACCTTTCCCTGCCAGCCAGAAAGAGTCAAGGAGAAGAATGAATCTTGGAGGGGGGGGGTGGACTAGATGACCAACACATCTGTTCCTCTGACTCCCAAGGTCCCTCTCTCACAGCGACCGTTTTAGAGCCGGGCGGTCGGGCAAGCGGGCAGGGCTGGACCCCCGAGGGCGCATTGCGGGGGGGGGGGGGCTCCATCCGCTTTCCGGATGGGCCGAGAGCCGGGGACGAAGCGCCTCCACTCCTTCCTCCCGCGGGGCTCCAGCGCCGGCGAGGGCTGGGCCGAGGGTGGGGTGTCCAGGGGCAGGTGGCCTCCCTCTGTCCCCCCCCTCACTCCCTCCACCGCCTCCCTCGGAGGAGGAGGCGGAGGCGGCGGCCACCCCGATTTGCATGCGGCTCAGACGGCCGACCGGAGCGCGCGCCTTTACGCAGGAGGCGAGGAGGAGCGCGCGCCCAGCCGGAGGTGGAGCCGCAGCCGGAGTCGGAGCCCGCCGAGCCGCCGCCGCTAGAGGCGCGTCGGGAAGAAGTCGGCGGAAAGTTGGAGGCGGCGGCGGCGTCCTCCGCTTTGTCCCGGGCCGAGCCCGGCCGCTCCTGGCCCGCCTGAGCCGGGCGGAGAGAGAGCGGGAGCGAGAGCGAGCGAGGCGGGACGTGGACGCGGCGCCGGAGGGAGAGCGAGCCGGGCGGGCGGGCGGGCGGGCTCCTGGTGCTGCCCTCTCGGCCGTCCTCCTGCTCCCGGCCGCCGGCCATGTCGTCCATCCTGCCCTTCACGCCGCCCATCGTGAAGCGGCTGCTGGGCTGGAAGAAGGGCGAGCAGAACGGGCAGGAGGAGAAGTGGTGCGAGAAGGCGGTCAAGAGCCTCGTCAAGAAGCTCAAGAAGACCGGCCAGCTGGACGAGCTGGAGAAGGCCATCACCACGCAGAGCGCCGCCACCAAGTGCATCACCATCCCCAGGTAGGGAGGGGGGAGACCCTCCGGGACGCCCGGGCGGGGGCGGGGGGGGGCGGCCCGCCTTTGTTCCTCGGGACGGCTCTCCGGGGCCCCCTCCCCACCGGACGGGCAAGGAAGGAAGGGAGGAGGCTTCTCCGGCGAGCCTCTCTCCCCGATGCCCCCCCCCCCAACCCCCGGGATCGTTTAGGCCGGGGGGGTGGGGGTGTCTCCAATCTCAGCCACTGGGAGCCTGGCGGACTTCAGCTCCCAGAATCCCCCCCGCGAGCTTTGCCCTAAGGCAGGGGTCTCCAACCTTCTGGAGGCAAGGCACTAGGGTTTGAACAGAAGAACAGAGTTGGAAGGGGCCTTGGAGGCCTTCTAGTCCAGCCCCCTTGCTCAGGGATCTCCAACCTTGGCAACTTCAAGCCTGGGGGACCAACTCCCTGAATTGGGAGCAAAGCTGGCTGGGGAATTCTGGGAGTTGAAGTCTGCCAGGTTTAAAGTTGCCAAAGTTGGAGACCCCTGGTTTA